ATTATTATTATTATATATAATAATATAATAATATAATAATAATAATTATTATTATTATATATAATAATATAATAATAATATATATAATTATAATAATTATTATTATTATATATAATAATATTATATTATTATTATATATTAATAATATATATAATAATATCATATAATAATAATAATATAACATTTACGGATATCATAAAAATGGGAGTGAGAGACATCTATAATTGAAATCGGCAATTACTTAGTTGCCAACCCAATATCATGCGCTTCGTTTGCCATGTTACAATAATAACTCCTATATTGTGGACAAAAATGGACAATTTGGAAAGAGGAGATGCGATTATTCGAGCGTCTCGTTTTTATAGTTATTGAGAATCGGTAACTATAACAATCGAGCCGGGAGCCTCGGATAATCGCATCTTTACTATTCGCATTTATTCCGAAATTGTCTATTTTCATTTCCAAGCGTCGATTAGGGAGAATTTACTGTATGTGGAAGATCATGAAATATCTTAAGCCCTCGAACTACGATTTCCGTTGGTTACAATTTCTCTGTTCTTAATAATTTTCTCTGATAAAACGAGACAATTTTCGTTTCTTGCACGCCTTCGTTTACTTTTATTTCCAGACTTTGATAACAGAGCAATCAAGTTTGATTTCGATTCGGAGAAACTCGATAACATTCGTATTTAATGGAAAACGTTTTTCCAACTTCTTCATCGGAGCCTGTAACGAGAATTGAAAAAGTGCGTTGTGTAGATCTTGGTGATTTATATCTATATTTCAGTGCTGAAATTTGCATTGAAATCGGTTGAGATCGGTTAATCCTTTGGTCAAGCTACAAACACTGAAAGATGTTAAAATTATCTGTTTTTCATAGATATTCATGGAAAACTGCGATTTACGCGATCTTCAATATTGTTTACAGCTCTGTCTATTTACTGTACAAGTCACTCCTATATTGTGGACAAAAATGGACAATTTGGGAAGAGGAGATACGATAATTCGAGACTTGCAACTCGTTTTCATAGTTGTTCACAAATCGATAACCATAAAAAACGAGCCACGAGGCTCGAACAATCGTATCTCCTCTTCCCAAAATTGTCCATTTTTGTGGACAATCTGAGCGTCAATTAGAGAGACATTACGTTATCGAATTCTTGTCCAGTAATCTCAATTGTTTCGGAAGTTCTATTGTTACAGATTACTCGTTCCTCTATGATCGGGATATTGAATTATTTGGGAACCACTTTGGTAGCATTTACGCTTGAAGACGGGCGATCCGGTTGTATAGCCTGCGTCCATTGTATCAGGATGACAAGATATGTAGTTATCGAGCTGACGCACTGTAACAGACAAGCAGTGCGACGAGGGACAATAATATGCAACGGTATCGAATGGTTTTACGTGTTACGATCACTTTTTTTGGTCAACGCACCTGTCGTATGAAGTTGAAATTCAAACGGAAGAACTCGGACTTCGTGTTGCCGACTTGGTTCAGCGACAGTTGCAGGGAGAACTGTAGGATCTGGAGAAAGAAACATCGCGAAATTGCAGATCCGTTTTGCGTAAATTGATGAAAAGTCTACAAAAAATTAGCGTTACCGACTACTTAGTATTACTAATTCAACAAGTAATAAGTAAACTGCTGATCATCTTTACGAACATTTTTATTTTCGCACGCGATTTTGCAAATATTAGAATCAAAGAAAGATAAAAATAAAATAACAATGCTGTTAGGCCTTGTTAATTGATAGAGGCTTGCATTCTAGGAATAAATAACAATCTTCTGGCATTTCCTTGACATTTTAATGTGACAGAAGTTATTTAGTATTATTATATAAGTATTATATATAGTTATTATTTATTTTAAAAATAAGTATTATTTTATAGTTATTATTTAGTATTATTACATAAGTATTATTATAGAAGTTATTTAGTACTTATTACATCATTCATATTATTATTAGTATTAGTATTATTTCATTCAGTTTCTTCGATTAGTTATTTGTTTTTAACTCGACAATATATATGAGTCAGTAACGAATATTCTCGCAAAGGAAAAAGTTCAATTCGAATCACCTCCCCAAAAGAAGTAAAACAAGCGAACGAGTTGTTGCTATTCCACTTTCTCATTGCATCGCATCGCCTAATAATTAAATTCAAGCTATCTCACCTCATCCTTCAATTCGGTGTCAAAATCGGTGATGGAGCACTCGTGGATGATCTCCACCACGTTTTTCGTCTGGAAATCACGAGAAGCTTTCGTAGATTGCGAATGGAACATTGCGAATGCATTGAACATTTTTTCTATTTTTTTTTCTGATAAGGTGGCCTTGATTTTTAGTCGAAAAGCAATAGTTTTTGAAATTTGTAGTATTTCAATGTGCAGCCGATTAAATACTGATTAACTCTTTCGTTGGAAACATTTTTTTGTCGGACTGTCGAAAGTGCTCGAAAAATCGTGGCGACGGTTACGTGGCACACCCTGTATACATATTTCATCGGAATAAGGGTAAAAATTTACCTCCTTGGCGGTGTTTTCGCAGACGTAGCTCATTACAAAGATCTTCATCCATACGTAAAGGCTATCCATTACTTCGATCAGAGCTGTGCCAACCACGAATGCGTTCACATTGGGATCTTCGAATTCAATGTAGACTTGGTATAAAATCGCGACGAGATTTATGATGGCCACGAACGAGTGGATCGTGAGTTGCGAGTCGAACGTGCTGTTCACCGCTTTCATGATTCTGCACAGGTGCAAGTGGATGCATCTTCGAGGACAGAATTATTGCCGTTCTCATTATTTCTTTTTGTTAAATATTCATTGTAATGCTTTGTTCAATTAAACCAGAAAGCGCCGGTGAAATTCATAGTAAATGAAGGAAGATATTACAATATCCAGGGTGTCTCAAAATTATTGTGCAAGCAAGAAATAAGGGGTTCCCGAGGTTATTTGAAGTAACTTTTTCCTTAGCGAAAATGCAATCCGAGGCTTCGTTTGCGAGTTATTAACGAAAAACGCTGACCAATGAGAGGCGAGATTAGCTAGCGCTCTTCTCTTGCGGCCAATGCCGCGTCGCGCTGACCGTATGACGCAACGACAGTAGTCGCGAGGGCGGGGCGTCAACCGTGCACGATCTCTCATTGGTCACTGTTTTTCGTTAATAACTCGCAAACGAAGCCGCGGATTGCATTATCGCAAAGGAAAAAGTTACTCCAAATGACCTCAGGAACCCCTTATTTCTCTCTTGTACAATAATTTTCGGACATCCTGTAAATGGAAACGATAAATTGGGCAGAAAGGAGCAGAAAATACTCGATTTAGCGTACGTAAAAAGGAACTTGGAATATCAAAAAACCGTAAGAAGATCTCAAGTAGCGGAGGAACGAATACAGAGAATATTTGATAATAGTAAATTGTAATTAACTGTTTAAGCCTAATACCTGATTTCTTGAAGCATACGAACTTTTTTTACCGACTGCAGTTCGTTTTTCACGCTGGGAATCTTTTTGAACGGGACAACCTGCGTCCGACGCACCGAAAAATCGGGCATCCATTTGCTTTGATATGTTTTAACGGCTGCTCGATTCGATTTAGTTTCGGTGATTTCGTTGCTCGTGTCCTCCGTCTTTATCTGATGACCGTCCACCAGGAATTTCCTCAAGAGATCGTTTGTTTGCTTGAAGCTGCATCTGAGCCAACTAATACGCGGAAAAATTTTAAAAAATATGAATAATTGCAGATCAATGTTTTTCTAACATTTTCTAACGGAGTTCTAATCTTTCATTTATGACGGTTTGCTATCTCGTTCTAAACAAAAGTGTCCGATTCGTGGCAGCGCAATATCCTATTCTCCCCTAAATCACGTACCAGACGTATGTCAAAAAGTCCAGGTGGACCTGCGCGCCGATGTTCGATATATGATTGAAGAAAACCTGTTGCAGCATCAAATACATGTCCCAGACCCAGTATCCGCATAATCCGTAAAGCAGTAACATATGCAAACACGTTACGCTGTAGGTCGCTATTATCCAGAAGAGTATTACACGATAATTGGTGACGACGCCCAGCTTCGTTATGTTCTCCTCCAAGTCGGCGATCTTTCGATTCAACACTGGCACCTCCTTGGAGAAGGAAACGAATGTTACGTTGGCATCTGAGATATTCTTCGAATGATATGAATCGAATATTAACTTTCTGCGGGTATGAACTGTTCGAAAGTCAACGCAAATATTTGTCAGACGAGATGAAAACGCAGACTATTTCCACCGAACACAGAACTGCCTTTTACTGTTTTAGAAAATTCTACAGTATTCTATTATTTTTAGACATTCGAACCATTTTCGTGTACAATCTAAGGGCCAATTAGGGAGAATTCGCTGTAATTATTGGTGTTATTTACTTGAGAACATGAAAGGGATTAAGCTCGCACGAGTCCTATAACGTCTTTCTTTTTCAATCACTGTCTTTCTTTACATTTGGAGCACTATAAAAAAATGTAGCATAACTGTACCATAATTGTCACTAGATACAGCCAAAATGGTGCTAGTAGTTGAGAGAATACCGTATCGACGACCAATCTTGAAAGCTATGACTCTATATTTTGCGTGTTTTAAGGACACAGTAAAAGACGATACAGTAATTACTCCCGGAAATGCCAAATTTTGGGTTGCTGTGAATTTCTCTGTACTAGTCCTACGACTATGTCTATCAAATCGTAGCATATGGCCTCCGAATTGCCTTGGAATCGAGTCACGTGGCCTCCGAATTGCCTTCGAATCGTGTCAAGTGTCCTCCGAATTGTCTTCGAATCGTGGCAACAAATTAAAAATAAAAAAGGTTATGTCAACACTTTTACTCAAGCATTACTATGTATTCAAATTAATATTGACTAGTATTATATATTAGACTAATAGACTTATGACTAATATTATATATTATACTAATATTATTATAAACTTAATATTGAATATTTTTTACCCTTATTTCTATAAAAACAATCGCGAGGCTCGAAAAATCGTGTCTTAGCTTGATTTAGTATTCTCAGATCTGCGTGTTTCCTGTCCGACTCTAAACATTACTGAACAGTTTAAAAACAATGTTGTTTCGAAATCAAGATTCTCGAATAATTTATCTATTCGTTCAATCGATTGATCGTCGATTCAATTCGACACGCGCGAAGCCTACCTCTGAATGATAGCAGCCCAAGACGTGTATGAAGACGAAGCACAGATAGTTGGCGACTCTCAGTGACAAATAAACCACGCAATCCACTCCCAGCAGAACCGTGGACAGCCTGTACAGGTAGATCAAGTACATAACGTAGCTCGTTGAGAACACCACGATCATTTTGTAGGAATAGTTCAACAGGCTCCATAACTTCGTGTCGGAATCGCGGAGCGGCCTCAATGCAGTTATACGATTCACTGCAACGACGATCCGTGTAGCACTTGTGAAACTAGTTACTTCCATTCTTTCACTTTCTTTTTGAAAAGTCGAAATTCCGCGTCGCGCTCCTCTAGCGACGATAAAATCTTCTCAACGATTTTTCATCTCTTCTCAATCATTCGCGCTTTGTTCTTTATTTCCCCGCCGCAAAAGCTGCCTCTCCCAATCCTTATTGCTCGGACAATAATATGTAAATTAGACAATTAGATAATAATGTAACAGACAATTAGATAATTATTCTTGACGTTCAACGCGTCCTTCGCTCCTTCTTTGTTCTCTTCAATAATTTCTTCCTCTACGCTTGTCGCCAATTAAAACAGATTCCTTTATTCACAATATTTCCTTCTTTTTTATAATTGTTCCTCTTTATTTATTCGATAATTCTGTTTTCTCTACGCTGGAATCGCTGCGACACTTTCCTCCAATATCTTTCATCTTGGATCGCACTTCGCTGTGACGAGATCTTCTCTCAACGCCCAATGTTTCGTTAATAAAAAAGTATAATTATCGCGACGGTACACGGATCCGTCCGTTTACGATACCAGCGTGTTTGCCACTTTTTTTCATACTAACAACGATGAAAACGTCGAACATCCTGTATGCATCCGTACAATTATAAACGGGTCGTCGGTGTGTGTGTGTGCGCGCGCGCGCGTTTCTGTAACGATTAACAGGCAATTCATTTGCCTGGAACGTAACGGCGATCGCGAGTGTCAAGGAAACACGATGGATTGTTTGTCGTATTTCAGAATATTACGTTCACTTCGGAAGATTGCTCGGGAACGTGCTTACGAATGTTCCCGTAATCTATTATCGATGCGTACTTCGCGAGCATAAAGTAGTTTGTGGTAATAACCGCTATATTGCATCGGTTATTAATTCGATAACGATCGCAGAACGGAGAATTGGCCTAATTAAGATGTACGATCGATTGCGAAGCGGTGGGCAGATTTTTATTTATTGGAAATTTCGTTGAGCGAAACAGTCGAGGCGAAATAGCGAGGACGAAGAATCAATGTTGCAATTTAATTCAGGCTTCAGGAGAAGGCAAATGTCGTTTTTCTTCGTGACTCTCGGTTTTGGAATCTGATTTGGAGAAGAAGTCAAGATTTCAGCTTCGAGAATTTTCTTTGCTCTGATCTAAGCTCAATTCTAGCTCTAAAAAGCTCTGAGCTTTTCAAGCTTACGTTCGTACAACGAATCTGCGAACTCTCCAAAACGCGTATTTTTGCAACTTTATGAATATGAATCAAAAAGAGCGAGGTAATTTTAATGTAGACAGGAGCGAATTTGATTTGAAATGAAAACAGGAAATAGCTGTTTGAAATCGTTAATTTCAAATTTAGTTGAAAATGAAATTCTATCGATCTCATCGATATAATAGCAATTTCAAATAATGAATTATTTCGTTGTTTTTGTTTTCAATCGATTGTGACGAAAGATATTATCCTTGAATAATATGCAACAAGATTTTATTTTAACGACCAAATGAACAAAATTTTTGAAGCAAGGAGGACTTTTTTTCTTAAAGCGAGCAAAGTCGTGAAGAAAAATTGTTGTCGCTGGTTATCGAAAAGTAAGAAGCAATGTTAAAATTTATTTCACAGTATAATATTGTTATGTTAACTTCAGTTGATTGCGGTTAAATTGGAACTTGATCCGTGCACGTCTACCATCTGGCTCCACTGTATCATAATGAGGAAGTAGGTGAATATGCTACCCATGCTCTGTAACAAATCAATTTGAAAATGAACAGAGAGATTAGTTTGACTTATTTTTCGATTTTGATTTCTCTTCAACAGTTGCTATTGTTTCGGAAACAATGTTCACCTGAATAAGAGAAACCGATCTACCTGTAGTATGAAACCGTCGTTCAGCCGGAAGAGATGACGGGTTTCGAGGTTCACTTCGGTGAGAGAGACTTGCTGGCAAAATTGTACGAGCTAGAATCGAAGATTAGGCGTAAGTAAGGCGTAAGTTTTCGAGTAAATTTTCGAAAATTTTGACTTGTGGCTTTAAATGCGAAAATGGCGAAAAGACAAGCGATATAAATTATAAAGTTATTATATAATTACTATAAAATTAAATAAATAAATTATATAATATAAATTTAAATGCGAAAATGACGAAAAGACAAGCGATATAAATTATAAAGTTATTATATAATTACTATAAAATTAAATAAATAAATTATATAATATAAATTTAAATGCGAAAATGACGAAAAGACAAGCGATATAAATTATAAAGTTATTATATAATTACTATAAAATTAAATAAATAAATTATATAATATAAATTTAAATGCGAAAATGACGAAAAGACAAGCGATATAAATTATAAAGTTATTATATAATTACTATAAAATTAAATAAATAAATTATATAATATAAATTTAAATGCGAAAATGACGAAAAGACAAGCGATATAAATTATAAAGTTATTATATAATTACTATAAAATTAAATAAATAAATTATATAATATAAATTTAAATGCGAAAATGACGAAAAGACAAGCGATATAAATTATAAAGTTATTATAGATTTACTATAAATTTAAATAAATATATTATATAATATAAATTTAAATGCGAAAATGACGAAAAGACAAGCGATATAAATTATAAAGTTATTATAGATTTACTATAAATTGAT